TATTTTACCATTTAATTGTGCTGGCACCCTTGTTGAAAATATTTATCCCCCCGTGGCTTCTTAAGTGCTTCTAGTAATTCTTACATGAGATAACTTCTTGATGGTTTTCATGAGATTAATTGAAGCATAGTTTTTAATCTGTTGATGTATTTCATGAGTATATATTTGGTGAGATAACTTGTCACTTATTGATCTTTTAAACAATTGAGATTTAACCAGGCTTTGAAGTATTGTAGAAGCCACCAGAAACCATTTTGAAGAAGCCAGCCTTAAAGATGGTGTGCCATCATTCTCTCTTGACTATATCTGCCCTAAGACAGATTTACCTGTATTTCTCCTACGTGGTAGGCAATAACAAGAACAGATAGGATGAAAAAGAATCACTGATTGGGACTATAACATTTGGCAGTTACATTGTAATGAATCTTACCATGATGGATCGAGTGATTTGAGAGTTGGCAATAAGTGGCATGAAGCAGGTTACTAGGAGAAGCCTTTGAAAAAATAATCATTGGTGTTACCAGGAATCTCTATTTTGAGGCCAACCTTTTCCTAGTGTCGGTGAATCTGAAGTGTCTAGAATAGTGCTATCCAGTAGAAATATAATGCCAGCCTCTGAAGTATTCTAGTAGCCATGTTAAAGTAAAGAGAATCAGGTGAATTAAATTTTAATAATATATTTCATTATATTCAAAACATTATTTAATTTCAACATGTAATAAATATTGAATTACTAATAAAATATTCTACATTTTCCTGTACTAAATTTTGGAAATCCAATACATAGTTTATACTTATAGCACATCTCAGTTTGGACTAGCCACATTTCAAGTGCTCAGTACCCACACATGGCCAGTGGCTACCATGTTGGACAGCACAGTTCTAGAGGTTTTGATATGATAGCCAATTGAAATATTACACCAACATTACTCAACCTTCTTTGTACTTCCGGGAACCCCGACTCATTCCTTTAACTTGATAGAAGTGGCTTCGGGGGAAGCTTCCTGCTTGCCTGTTCAGTGTGGCCCTTACTGGTGGGATGCTCACTGAGATTGGGGGTCTGAGAATTCTGTTAAGCGACATGGGCAACTCACTAAATATGTAAAGAATAATCGAAAGACATTATGAAGATGGCACTTGAGCTGTGAATTGGACTGTGAAAATTGGAATCTCTTCTCTCTTTTCACAGATACAGTCTTCTCTCTTTTCACAGATACAGTGGTAAAGCTATATAAAGAAACTACTACTAGTGCAGTGGTTCTAAATGGGCACGATTTTGCCCCCAGGCGTTGGTCAGTGTTTGGACACATTTTTTTTTTTCCAAATGCAAGTTTATTCTTTGTTTTTTTTTTTTTATACTATATATACATAATTTTTTTTTAACATTTTATTTTTTTATTTTCCCCCTCCCTCTGGTAACCACTAGTCCATTGTTCATGTCCATGAATCTCTGTTTGTCCTATTCATTTGTTGCTTTTAGGTTTATATCTCACATATGTGATATCATGTGATTTTCAACCTTTTCTTTGGCTTATTTCGCTTAATATGATTATTTCGGGGTCCATCCATGTTGTTGCAAATGGCAGTATTTCATCTCTTCTTATGGCTGAGTAATATTCCATTGTATGTGTGTACCACACCTACTTTAGCCC